CTCTCTTCACACAATGGCCATAGTTTCCCCGCAACCTGGTCAAGAGGTGGAAACTAGAAGCTCTCCATTCTATTCATGTAGGATGTGGTATAATATGCGACAGCCCATCAATTCGGTAGCATAGTAGTCAACACAGAAGAAAACTACCAGTTGTTCTTGATGACTAGCATCTAGGATCTTCTTTTCAGGTGACCAAAAACTAGAGACTTTTCCCTGGCCAACGAATGTCCCAGTCCGAGAAATTATATGACTAAAAATCGGATAATTTAATATCTTTGACAGTTTCTTTGAGCTTCAGCCGAGGTAGACCTTAAGTTATATGATGTTATTGGCATAGTAGCGTTAAAAATGTCTTGAGAATTTTACAAGGCAAGACATTTCACTCGTTAGTGTATAGTCGGCTGTAACAAAATGAAAGACAAGCTGACAGCCAGATCCCCATGTTCCCCGCAAAGTTTCGAACTCTGTCTTGGTTGCTGTCCACTATTGCCCTCACTAGGTTTAGTAATGTCTGCATCGTCCGCTCAAGTAAAGTTACTTTCTTTCTGTCACAATTTAATACTGAGACTGAGAGTGCTCACTTTTTTCTTAAGGTATTCCAGAAATGGTTTTATTAGCTTTGTGGGCACAATTTACCCTAAACGGTACATCATTGTATTGGAAGAACTGTACCTTGAATATGAATCTGAAATATATTCTATGACTCTCCCTAACGGGTACCAAAATCTCTGAATATTCCAAATCCAAATTCGTTAAGAAAGTATCTCTACGGAGAAGTGTGATCCCAGTTCAATAGCGTAGACTTAAGTTTTCTATCCCTATAAACAGACAAAGTGTCTTGAGGTAAGGAATCAAACGTGTTGACTCATCAGGCTTGGAGCCCAGAAAAAGTTGAATAGGTGCTGATGTTTAGTTGGCTTAACTTTTTTATTGATAGCACCGCAGCTAAGCAATTGAGAGACTGTCGAAGGTCGGTAGTTCATAGATGAATGAGATTCAGATATGGCAAAGTGTTAAACCAGTCGCCATCTGAATGGCAAGTGACCACTTGAGTCCAACTCAGGACCTTAGGGTCACTCTTAAAGCTCTGCCATTAATGACGAATATGCGTCAATGTCCATGCTGATCTACACGCCCCATCTACAATAATGGGTTGATGTTGTCTGGCCTTTTGCCCTTCAGCTGCTGCTCAGTTTATCTGATTTCTATTTAGAATTGACTTACTCGGTCACACCTACACCGAAGAAGAAGATAATCAATGGAAGCCTCTGTGAGAATACTCCTAAGTTCTTTGCTTTAATGTGAATATCTGCCAGCATGTGCTCTTCTCTCTTCTTTGAACCTAGAGGATAGAGTATTGCCACTTATAGTTAATGAACAGCTCACATGTTGCTGTACACAGACCATGCAAGCATCCCTGCGTGCGACAATTTCTATTATGGCTTCCTCTACCTCATCTGGTTCACCTTAGGTGGCTAGAATGGGACAGAATTCATTCATCTGTCGTTATCAACAAGACCTGCCCTCGAAATGTCAGCCTTGGAACAACGCGTGAACATTAATTATACTAAGGTTGCCGCATCATCGTGGTGATGCATCACCTATCGAAACAGACTAGATGGCTTTTAAGACAACACAATCCAGAGCGCCCTGCTGTTCGAGTGCCACCTATGCAAAATGTAACGTTATTACTGAACGTTAGGACTTTGGTGGTTTCGTAACCGGTCATGTTCATACGTATAGTCCTGTTCCATAGTTAGCACCAGCCAGGTGGAATTTGCTAGCACAAGCAAAATGTAACGCTAGCCTACCATAGATGTACCTAATTTCTATATGTTGTTAATTAGGAATAGTGCTTCAGCTGTTTCGTAACCTGTCATGTGCGTATTATTGACCTGTTCGATGGCTATTCCATACCATATGGAACTTACTGTCACAAGCAAAATGTAACGCTAGTATCACATAGATAAAAACGAAGTGGTCTTTAGTGGTTTCCTGAACTGTCATGTGCATTCTGACAAAGACGTTCCACGGTTATCACAAATCAGATGGAAGTTGCTATCACAAGCAAAATGTAACGCTAGTCTCGCATAGATGTACCTAATCTCTGTCGTTCATTAATGAAAAATGGTACTTCGGCTTTTTCCTAACTTCTGCATCCTTACAATATTGTTCACAAACCAGATAGAATATGCTATCCCGACCAAAGTGTACCGCTAGTCTCACATAGATGTACCCAATTTTTATCTTTTATAAATGCAAAATGCTATATTGCTACATTGCTATCACAAGCCAGATGGCATCTGCTATCTCCAACAAAATTTAATGATAGTCTCGCATACATGAACCTAATCTCTATTTGTTATTAATGCAAAATGGTACTTCGTTGGTTTTTCAAACTGTCTTGGGTAATCTTATTATGCTGTTTCAAAGTTATCACAAACCAGATAGAATTTGTCGTCACAAGCTAACCTCGCATAAGATACCTAATCTCTATCTGGTAATAAGGAAAAATATACCTTCTATGGTTATCACAAACCAGATGAAATTTGCTATCACAAGCAATTGAGAAGAGGTTGTTGACCATACCTTGTTGCTACGTTGTCTCAAACGCTTTCAGTGTTGTTAGTTGTGCAACGAAGTTCAGTATTGAGTCATTATCCCAAACAACTTCATTCGTTCTTGGTGTGGACTATCAGAAGCTAGGTCCATGTTTGCTATTCCAAGCAACCCAGTCCAATGTTGCAACGTTATCCCAAATGTCTTCGTTCATCCTTGATGTGGAGCTGACTATCCCAAGGCAGGTCCACGTTGCTGTCCCAAGCAACTGAGTCTGAAGCTTCCACGTTATCCCAAACGTCTTCGTTCGTTCGGGGAATGGAAAGGTCCCATTTTCAATGTGTCTTCCCATAACCGACTTTAAACATATACCACTATCACCTTCTTTTCCATAGGAACCAATATCCACACATAAAAATTTACAGTCGGCGTCTACTATAGCTAATAAAACAATAGAGAAAAATTTCTTGTAATTAAAATAAAGAGACTTGGGAGAACACCTTATACGGCAGTGTTCACCGTCAATAGCACCGCAACAAGGAAAACTCCACTTAGACATAAACTTTTCGCCAACTTTTTTTAAAATATCTTCTGTAACAGTCCGTAAATATATACGTAGAGGTACGAGATGTTCGCACAAGCCTTTTAACTTCTGTCTCATGATTATGGATATGTAGTTATGTGATATTCGAAACTGAAAACCGAGTGACCGCATGCTTTCTCCAGTAGCCAAATACCTGAAAAAAAAAATCAAATTAATATCACAAACTTATTAGTTTCAGAATGCAAAAAACGTTGGGAAAGTCTTCGAGACCAATACAACAAAAAGAAAAGAGATTACGGAAATGGATCAGCAAGAGTAGATACAAGTTGGGAATACTAAACACTGATGTCATTTTTATCAGACAGTGTACATGATAGACGGTATGAATTTTTTTATTTCGTTAGAGCGATATACAGGGTGGCGCAGAGGAAACGCATGTTTTCTGACCGAATGGTATTTCGCACAGAATAGGGATATGAACTCGCCGCACCGCCAGCAGAGAACACATGCGATGCAGTTTCAGCCATGGCACCGTGGATGACGGAGCATCGTGTGTTTGCCGTCGAGCAATTTTTTCGAAACGATGATTCTGTAGTGATCGTGCAACGTTTATTCCGTCGACAGTTCAATGTTGAACACCACGGGCCAATTCCAGATCGAAACACAATACTCCGATGGGTTGAAGCATTTCGAAGTACTGGATCCGTAATGAAGAGGAAGCCACCTGGCCTTCCCCGTACCGTGCGGACTCCAGGCAATATCGAAACAGTGAGAAGATAGTCCTTGATAGTCCCCAACGGTCCACTAGGCGCCAAGCTCCAACTCTGCGTATGTCCCGTCAGTCGTTACAACGCATTTTGCATGACGATTTACAATATCATCCGTACAAGATAATGATCGTGCAAGAGCTAACGGAAAGCGATTTTGCACAGCGTAGAGAATTTTGTGCGAGAATGCGGGCCATTTTTGCTGACGATCCTGACGTCGTCATAATGATGAGTGACGAAGCACACTTCCATTTAAACGGATATGTAAACAAGCAGAACTGTAGGTATTGGGCGGCCGAAAATCCACGAGAGCTACACCAACGACCCTTGCATAGTCAAAAATTAACTGTGTGGTGCGGAATCAGTAAATTAGGTATCGTTGGTCCTTACTTTGTTGAAGAGGAAGAAAGAGCAGTAACAGTTACTTCAGCACGTTATGTTCACATGTTACAAAATTTTTTGTTACCCGAACTTCAACGGCAACAAGTAAACATGGGAGAGCTGTGGTTCCAACAAGACGGTGCCACAGCTCACACAGCGAGAGCATCAATGGAATGGATTCGACAGATGTTTCCTGAACATGTGATTTCCCGTTTCGGCGATGTCCCTTGGCCCCCACGCTCCCCAGATTTGTCCGCATGCGACTTCTTTTTGTGGGGTTACCTTAAGCTACAAGCCTCGTACGTTACAGGAACTCAAAATTGCTATTCGTCAAGAAATTGCAAGAATACCACAAGAAATGATTTTACGTGTAATGCACAACTTTCAAGAGCGGTTGGAGATGTGCGAGCGCGAAGCAGGGCGACACTTGAGTGACGTTATTTACCATCATTAGTTTTAAAGTGCACTATCATTACTTTATTTAGCTGTAACTGAAACAAGGTTATCTTGAAAATAAAAAATGTTATGGTTAGGTGAAAATCGTGCGTTTCCTCTGCGCCACCCTGTATTATCGAACAGCTAGTTAAAAATATACTAAACATTTTTTTTTTCATATTTCGGGGCACATTGTTTAGTCTAATTCCAATTTAATCTAGTTTTTAACTTTCCTGTCTACTTTAGTATCATTTATAGCAATTTGTATTGAAACTAAAACAAGTCAATCAGCGTGTCAGCAGATATCATCACCTATGCAAGAAAACATTCAAGATGACACGCAAAACAATGGACAAGAAGTCACGCAAGATGAAATACAAGAGGACATACAACATTCATTCGACGATACTCATAAGAACATGCAAGAAAACACACAAAGGCAAATGCAAAAGAAAGATAATGCAGAACAACATCGCCCTAAAAATATCCAAACACCAAAACCCAAAAAAAGTAGGCATGATTCAACACTAGAATTAGTAAATAAAAGAGAAGACGAACGATCTCTAGTATATAAAAAGAAACTTGAAAAACACTCTCCACTACAGCCATCAGCAATACGAAAATTTTTTGACTCGATGGCTGATGTTGTGGAAACTTTTCAACTACGTGACCAGGCAGACATTCGACTAAAAATCTGTCAGTTGGTCACCGAGAGAGAGATTCAACTTACACAACAAACTCCATATGTTGCAGCTCCAGTGTCATCCGATAATTCGAGTGCTATGACAGTATCGACCCATTATGTTGCAACGCCGATGACATCTGATGAATCAAACACACCACAGACATTGTATGTTTCGACTCCGATGCCATCAACTGATGATTCGAATTTTACTTGGTTGTAACATGTTGTATAATATGAAATTAAATAATAAAACTTACAAAAAATATTAAATATCTTACCTTACTGTTACACCTAATTTTTCTGCAGCAGAAATGGGATTACGGTATCTTTTTGTTGGTTTTCTGGTTATATCGTTTTCAGTTAGATTCAGCACACGTGTAAATTGTTCCTTGGACGCTCGAAAATATTCTATAAACTTGGTATCGTTATTACAAAAGTGGTTCAGCAGAAAGTTAAAACAACCTTCTTTGTCTCTCTTCACAAATAACTCGTGCTTTCTTCGTCTCTTTTTCTTTAGTGACATCCGTATTAAGTAATCGTCGCTCGTAAAGCTCATCCCGACAGATACGTAATATATCACTGGGATATAAATATATCTTATAGCGTCCTTGCGTGTCGGCTCAATACGTTTACATATGGAGCGATATTTCTGTAATATGCAAGATATAATGTATATTATATTATTGCTCACCGTCCATTGTCAGCTTTAGTTAAATACATCTGCGGAATGGATGTGAGATATAATTATTAATTATTAAATTTTGTTTACCGAATTATACTCGTACTTCAGCGTCCCAGAGTAAGGTCGCGTTCATATTGGCACCGCTCGAGCGACGAGCGCTCAGCGATGCCGCTTGAGCGTTATCATCGCGCGCGTTGTCGTGTTCATATTGGTACAGCGTTATTTCAGTTATTTTCTCGAATTAGATCTGACGAGTTCGATAACAAAGCGGATGTTACTTATGGAAAATTCACGACTACGATGGCTAATTAGAAACAGAAATAAAAAGATACAAGGCGTCCACGAATTTAATAAAAAAACAGTCACTTATGGCGAATATCACCACCCACTGAAGTTGGCGTGTCGCTGTAGCGATGCCGGTTAAAAGAAGTTGAAAAACGAAGAAGAACGAAGCTCGAGCGGCGCGACGCTTTGCAACGCGCCATATCGCCAGACACCGCTCGTCAATATGAACGTTTCCATTTAAAATCTGTTGTGGGAATCAGTTTTTGACGACGCTCAAGCGGCATCGCTTAATGCTCATCGCTCGAGCGGTGCCAATATGAATGCGAACCAAAACCGTCCTCCTTTTAGTCAAGAGAAACTAAGAAAGACACTAAGTCGTGGAGAGTAAGTTTTTCATGAACGAATTTAATATTCATGGAAAACAATATCCATGGTCTAAGTACATAACTATTAGAATAAGTTATTGTTTTGATGGATGATTTGAAGTGGTGACTAAATAGATAAATGATTATACGATTCTCTAGAGAAATAGCAAAATAATTTAGAAATAACCAGATATCCGTTCAAAAAATGCTAGTATAAGCAAATCTAATAAAAGCTTATGCTTAACAGTTTTTCTATAAAACTACTTTCCATTTTCGCTGAGACAGGATGTTTCCAGAACCTAGGACAAACATTCAAATATAGGTTATTTGTTTTATTGTAATATTTGGGTGATATTTGAAATGCTGCCTTGTTTCGGACATATCCCTTGAAGGACATCACTGAAAATCGATTTTTATCGAGTATCTTTCGAAGCATATTGTATAATCCAATCGAATTTCGACAGTACAGTAACAAGTTCAGACTCAGCATAACAGAGAAAGCAATTAGCTCATTTAGTTCACCAGGGACGGACCAACCTTATTGCAGTATCGATAATTTTCTTGAAGCAGGTACAATAATGGAATGATATTTTCAAAAGCTTCATCATTTATATGACAAAATGTAGCCTTGAATAATTTTGATAAACTGAAGCGCTTCTGAAAAAAGAAACGCCCTTGTTTCAGCAACAGTCTTATCCATTTACAAAGCAGCCAATCTTCGAAAAGTCGAAAAGTTAGACAAAAGCCTGGATCTTAGTAAAGTGATCTGGAAATTTATATACGACGGCTTTTCGGGTTACTAATTCCGTGGAGAACTAAATGAGATAATTGCTTTATATGGATACCTTCATGTGAGGACTGGACTAGTTACTATCCTTTCAAAGTCTCGTTAGAATATATGACATTGTTCAAAAGGTATTTTAAAAAACGATGTCCAGCGGCATTTTTCAAAGGTCTGTAACTCCAAAGCAAAGCAGTACTTCGGAAATCGTCAGAAGTCAAAACAACCTTAGAATAATCAAAGTAATCACCCTTTGGATTTTTTCCCACTTTGGGGCAATGTCCTATAGGTTATCTCCAGAAATATGGGAGTACTCGAGTCGACTCACCGCTACTTAGCAGCGCCGCAATGCCCGGTAATTATAATTTTCTACTCATGCTAGTATTTGAATCTTGCTACATGTTTAATTTTTTAACAATTTTAAAAATATATTAAATAATGATGACTATTGTCACCATATTTAATATGCTATGAATCATCTCTAAAAAATGTTAAGCTTTTAAACACAATTGTTACTCGGAGGGTGCGCCTCAGTGTATTAGCACATTGTGTACAAATTTCGAGAATATACACCGTTCGTTTTTCCAAGACTACAAATTAGTAGATGGATGATATAATCGGATGCAACTTTCATACACTTATTTTGAGCAAGATATGTATGCCAGTTCCAGCAAACCAGTAATTTCCGATATTATCAAGTATCCATGCAAATTTTACCAAATTGTATGCAGGTTTCGTTCTGTGACTAGGATTCTGCGGAGTTGATTTCTACTCATTTAAAGAAGTTCCGCCGCCGTTTTCGGACATGACTACTATATCTTCAATGGCCCTTTCTTACATCCCCTTTCCGGCTACGACTCTGACCTGGCTATTTTTAGAAATTAAATCGAATTTCATGCGTCTAGCAGAGGCGAAAAGCTTCAGCCATGAGCTCATCAGTCTTCTTCAGCCCTACGGATTTGTATGGAGATAAACTTAATGGAGACTTTCCCATAACGATGTGGATGAAAAAAGGTGATCCACGTGTATATATGAGTATTTCCATCAGGGTGCTGAAGCAGCGATCACCAAAGACTTTTCTGTAGTCTGGGGCCTGAATACACGCCACATTGAATTTCGATCAAGATACATACCCTTTAAAACCTTAAAGTGACCCACACGACGAAGGTGCCACAGAGCATACAGGGTGATTCACAAGTCGTGACCAAAAATGACACATCATACACAGGACCGCATTTAAGGGGTGTCTTCTATGTAACATTTTTTCCTGGAGGGCTTCATTAAAAAGGTGTTGAAGTTTAAAAATAAAAAACAATTTTCTTAATATCTTCAAAGCCGTCAACTATATTTGTACTTTAGTATGTGGATTTACCTAGGTATTGTCCCCATTCAAAAGTCTCTACTTAAAATTAACGTGCACAATTTCTCGAATTTTGCCTTCAATTTGCTACAATAATTACTCTTGTGTAAGTGCATTGTTTTCATAAAAATAAAAAAGCAAATTAGATAATCAAAGCTTTATTTCACTAGATGTTCAAAAAGATCATCATTCTGATGGATACAAGTGCGGCATCTTTTTAATAAAGAAAAACGTATTTTCGCTTGAATTTGATGAAACGTATTATCTATTCTTTCTTGTAACTTATCAAAAGTATTAATTTGTTTAGCATACACTGCTTGTTTAAAAGCGCCTCATAAAGTGAAATCCAGGGGGTTCAAGTCAGGAGACCTCCCAGGCCAATTTACGCATCCGTTTCTGCCAATATAACTTTGTCTAAAATGATTATTCAATTTAACCATGCCGTTATATCACGACGAACATGCGGTGGGGCACCATCGTGCTGATACCACATTCGTACCCTCATTGCCAACGGAACGTCGTCTAATACATTTTCTATGTGATTCTCTAGAAAAGCTAAGTTTGAGTGTACATTTAAACGTTGTGGCATTACGTGCATAAACAGTTGGCCATTGAAGATGCCGCATCAGACATTTCTTGAGAATCTGTGTTGAAACAAGTACTAAGATCATCCAACGCCAAATTAGTTTGGTAGTTCCATATTGCCGAAGTCCTAGAAATGAACGCGTATAATAAACCTTTGAGGTAGGTTGGCGTCTGTTAGGAAATCTATGTTAATAATGCCGACAGGCCGCTAAGGCGTTTCAATTACAGAACCGTACACAAAAATAATACCGGCGTACTCATCATTGCTAAATTCCATTTCACAACACTGAAAAACGGAAAAAGAAACTTTTGACTTGACAAAAAAATGGTAGTAATAACGATAACAACGGCATGACACATAACTTTGACAAACTATTTCCAAAAAACACCAAGTTGGTGGGAAGGCCGACTATTTTTTGCTGGTGTGATAGGCAGACATATTTAAAATTCATATAGTTTAAACGAGGCAGCTTAAATCGTTTATACTTTTGCCACGGGATCAGTCCATGGAGCATATATACCTGGAGAACCGGCGAAATGAGGAAAATGACCCCAAAACTTGACGCCTGACTAAAGGCGCAGTGATCAAAGCGAGTACCAGCTATTGCGGATGTGCAGGGTATCTGAGCTTATAGTACGAAATCCGGCTGCTTGAATCTGCAGCTAACTGTTCTTTTGATGCCAGGCAACCCTGCTGTAATCTTCTGTGCTATCATTTGTCATTCATAAGAATCAAGTTTTATTAAAAAAAACATTCCTGCAGATTCAAGCGGCCGGCTCTTAGACTTAGGAATTATTTTTAAACTTTAACTTCCCTTATCCCTTTAACGAAGCCCTCGAGGAAAAAATGTTACATAGAAGACCCTCTTTGAAATGCGGTCCTGTGTATGATGTTTCATCTTTTATCACAACTTGTGAATATGTATATATATATATATATATATGTATAATATAGATTGAAAAAATCTGAGATCTTTTTCAAAAAAATATGTAGTTTAACCATATAATAGTTTTACCTATAGCTGGTACCACCATAGATTTTGTTCTTTCTGAATATCCATTCCACTGTATCGTACCTATGCTGCTTGAGGTGCCATGTTCGAAAGACTCCAAAGGTATAGATAGACAAAACAAACATACAAATTTCAATATCAAGTTGTGG